ATACTTAGCTTTGTACTTATTATACAATAAAGGAAGGGAAGTAGAAAATAGGTTTTTTTTTTCTGTTTTTATAATTTGTGTAACTGCTGCTTATGTAAACTATTATTTTTTTAAAACCTTGTGTGTCACATGTAAGAAAAATACTACTGAATGTGGTAAGAAGTGATTACCTCTTCACTTACCTAACCACTCCAAGAAAATATTTCTAAATATTTATGTTTCTCCCTCCCCTCTTTTTTTTTTTTTTTTTTTCCCCTGGTATCAGTATCAAAACTACTGTTCCATCATATGGCTTTTTGGTCTGCAAAGTGCTCACACTGTATTACTGATTACTTATGGAATTGTAAATGCTCAAAATGCAACTTTATAAATATCAAAACAGTAAGTTATACATGTGGAAATTTGATGACTTGGAAAAGTCAAGGATTACTAAGGTTGATTAACAATGAAATTCACAAAAAACATTCAAACCAGCTTTTTATTCGAATGTCAATATAAGGTGCTAAATGCATACTTAAAACATGTAAGTAAAATTTAATTAATGTTTACATGCTTTAAATAAAGTCAAGTGAAATAAAGTAACTGAAAACATGGACTTCAGATTTCTTAGCTCTAAATATCTGCAAGTAGAAGTTGCACTAAAACACTGTGGATTCTTTGCTAGGTAGGTGGATTCTTTGCTAGGTAGGAAAGATTTTATTTCATGCAGAATATTTTAATGAAACCTTAGAGTTAGTAAATTAAAAAGGGATTGTTAAAGAAGAGACAAGATAAATTAGTTTCTTTGGGTTTGTATATTAAAAGCCAATTTGAAGGGAGTGTCAAGAAATTGATGTATTGTCTTATGCACTGAAATTTTGCAATCATTTAAGTCAAAGCAAATGCTTTCAGTGCCTTTGCTTTTGGTAGGGGTAGCTGTTTTGGTTTCCAGCCAAATATATTGAATTATAATTATGCTCAGTCTTGGTATAGAAAACGTGCTTTGAATATCATGTATTTACTGTGACATCCATGTAAGAAAAGGAACTCTGTCATATTTCTCTTTGAAGAAACTTAATGGCATGTATGATGGCTCTCCTACAAATATAATCTGCTTGCTGTAAGTATATATGGCAAATCTATGTAACAACGAATCATATATTGTAAATTTATACTTTCAGACATAACCTTCTTTTCTATGTCACTGCAATGTAACCTAAAAAATATGTTGTTGTTGCTATTTTCTGGATGGTAGCAGTATATAGTGGATATATGTGTGGAAATCCTAAAGAGCAATACTGAAATTCAAAGTGGATAGTGTAAAGGAGGAGGAATAAGCGAAACAATAGTATGAAACTGAAGAATTTGCTGGATTATATAAATAGTTATTTTCTGATGGTAGACTACGAGAGATTTATGAATGTTTAGAATTTTCTACTGTAGAAATTTAATCTGTTTGGATTATAGCTATATTGAATATAAAATTACTTTTGGCCTTGACATATAGATCTTCATAAATTTCATATGGCTTGATGTAGGCTTACTAAAAAAAAAAAAATCCTAAGAACTTAAAAAAATAGTTCCCTCTTCTGAATATCTGAATCACAGTTTTCTATAAAATATATAGTGTTTTCTCTTTAATTTTCAATAAGCGTTTTTCTAGGACCTTCATTCTTTTTTATACTATTTGATAGCATAATTAGTATTTTCTTTCTAGAATTATTGAAAATAATGTTTCAGACCATCAGTCACTTTCCTATTTAGTGTATGATCTTGACATCTGTTTTAGGGTTTTGTTGGGGCTTTTTTGTTTGGTTGGGTTTTTGGGGTTTTATTTTGTTTTGTTTTCTTTGTTTTGGTTTGGGTTTTAGTGGTTTGTTGGGTTTTTCTTGCCTTTTTTGGGTTTTATATGATTGAGACAAATAACTTTAAGGTTATTTAATGCCTCCATCAGTAATGCTCGGTCTAGGCTGCATGTATTTCTGCAAGTATTATAATAGAAATAACCTGTTATAAATTATAGTTTCTAATTTATGATATCTACAAAATACGCAGGTGACTGTTCTAGCAGACCTCACTTGTCTGGCAGCATGATGAAGTATCTTTCTAACATTAACTTCAGTCCTTTACTATAGTATTATCATCCTTGTATCATTTCCTCACCTCCATTTGGAGAAAAATATGGTCATTGGTCTAAAGTGTTTCAACCCAAAACCGTTTCTGGTATAAAGTATGATCTTTTCAAAAGTCAATTTAAGCTTATTATCCATGGAAAAAAATGGCTCCACCACTGCAGTGTATGTAGATATTTTGCCTCTCTAAACTTTTAATTTCACACATATTCCACACTACTCACAAAATCACTATGTTGGCAGAATGTTCATGTCTATCAGTATACAGCAAGGCAGAAAGGAATGCTTAACATAACTCAGAATATTTGATTAAATTGTCTTCATTGGAAAATACTGTCTTCTTAATTTCCCACAGGAGACCTCTTTTTTTCAATTAGTTTTGATTGAACTCTGTGAAGAGCATTTTTTGAGTTGAAGATGGAATCACTTATTGAAACCAAAAAAGAAATTTAATTCAGAAGAAATCAAAACCATGTGTGTTAAATACCTTTCAAAGGCTTCAGAAATCCAATTTCATGTATTGGAAGTAAACTGGCAAAAAAAAGAAAAAATAAGTCTAACAGGGTGAAAAGTTACATGAGTACTTGCACTGTTTTTTATTCTGGCCTCTAACAGTTTAGCAGAAAAGAGAAATGTAGTCAACCTTTTTGTATCTGTGGAAAGGTAAGGTACAGAATACAATAGGGGCATTGGAGCTAGGTGATCTTAAGGTCCTTTCCAATCCTAATCATAGAATAGTTATGGTTGGAAAGAACCTTAAGATCATCTAGTTCCAATCCCCCTGATCATTCTGTGATTCTTTAATACTGTTTTCAGATTAGAAAAAAATAAGTATCATCTCATTTTAAAAATGAGATGAAATATATTAGTCATGATGAGTTGTCATTTTTATCATTAACACCTTTTCACCACCTAAGGCTTTGTTTGTGACAGAAAGAAAAGAACTACTTTCATATTAAAGAAAGAACAGCATCATTATACTTTATATTAGAATTGTAATTTATATTTTGACTCCATATCAATGTCTTTTCATAAATAAAATTAATAGTATTGTATATTGATCTTTTTATACATAATATAATAGTATTCTATATCAACTGATGGAACATATTTTATAAATAATTCTATGCATATTTTATGCATAATTTCTCAACAGTCTTATTTCAATCAAAGTTGGGCCATAAAGATACATTATAGTGCATGAGAAATAAAAATACTCAAAAAGTAAATGTTTTACTTTAACACAAATTTATTGTGTTAGGTTGACCATAGTAATTCTGTTTACCTATTGTGTTTGGGAGGATTTCTTTTATTTTTGGGGGTTTGTCCCTGCAAAATAAGTATGGTTCTTGAATTTAGGGATAAAGGATTTTCTCCATTCCTTTTTGTTTAATTTAAACAATAGATTGTTTGCATCTGTGATTACGTTATGGTTTCTTTCCTTTTATGTGAAGAGCATTGTTGTGGTTTAAACCCACCCAGACAGCTTGTTACCCACTCCCCCCCCTTTCTTGCCCTCCCCCTACTCCTGGAGGGACGGAGAGGAGAATCGGAAAGAATGCAACTCCCACGGGTTGAGATAAGAACAGTTTAGTAACTAAGGTATAACACAAATCACTACTGCTGCCACCAATAATAGTAATGATAAAGGAAATAACAAGGGAAGAGAATAAAACACCCCATCACCAGGTGACCGATAACTCGCCCCCCCAGCCCGACCAAGCACCGACCCATACCTCCTCCAACCCTGCAGTCCACTCTAGCCCTTCCGGCTAACTCCCAGTTACCTCCTGGGCATGACGTGCTGTGGTATCTAATACCTCTTTGGTCAGTTTGGGTCAGGTGTCCTGTCTCTGCTTCCTCCTGGCTCCCCTCCTCCCTGGCAGAGCATGAGGCCCACAAAGTCCTTGGCCAAACCAAAACATCATTGTTTTTCAGCTCTGTTCCCAGCTGAAAGTCAAAACACAGCACTGCACCAGCTACTAAGAAAGAGAAAAATGACTGCCACTGCTAAACCCAGGACAAGCATTCAATTTATTTTTTAAAATTAAAAAAAACCCAAACAAAATTCCTAAGCTAGGACTTTTAAACATTAGCTTAGTGTATGTTATTTATATTTCAGATGTGCATATATTATTACAGGCATTGGCCACAGTGTCCTGGTCTGTAATGATTAATAGTTCTTTGCCTTCCCCCTGAAAATGTGCATTTTAGTGACATGTTTACACACATTACTAGTCTTTTTGTAGGCACTAGAATGTGCCACCTGCAGAGGCATGTGTTTGCACAGGTAAATCCCTAGCCAGCAAACATTTTCATCATCAAATCTGTATAAGTGCAAAAAATAATGTTGTGTTTATGAAAATAGCAGCAAAAGCAAAAATTAAGCTGGAGAGCAAATTTTATAATAAGGTCGCAAAAGCTGAAAATAGAGTTCTGGAAGGTCAGCTGAATTGTACATATTTGGTAATGACAATCAAACCATCTGCCTTTGAGATCATTGCCTGTATTGCCAAAAGTTCTAGGAGGATTCATGAAAACTTCATGCTTTGGATTTTCATTGATAGATCAACAGTGTCAAGAAATCTCCAGTTCACTTAAACTGCTGAGACAAAAATGAAAGAAATGGACAGTTTGAGGGTTTTGTTTCTTTTTATTTATTGTGTGTTAGTGTGAAAATAGATAAGGTTTTTCCCATGGTTAACCACATAGAAGGAAGAATGCTCCACCCCTGGCTGTGTTCAAGGCCAGGTTAGACAGAGCCTTGGGTGAGATCCTTTAGTGTGAGATGTCCCTGCCCATGGCAGGGCGGGTTGGAACTAGATGATCTTAAGGTCCTTTCCAACCCTAACTATTCTATGATTCTATAAGAAGCCCTTAACATCAGTTTGTAGTAAACCAGATGATTTGATCTCAGAATCTGTAAACACATGAATGAGTTTCATTTTGTAGGTTCAGTTGAGAATGCAGCTAAGACACTGGCAAATGAAAGGTTAATCCTTCAGTTGAAGTGCAGAAATGTTTCCCCACAGCCTGCAGGTGGGAGATGAATATGCTAATTGGGCAAGCCTGACTTTCCAGTGATTTGCAGGTGAAAATGTAACTGGTGATAATTAAAGGCTAATTACCTTTAGCTAGCAAGTGGGAACCAGGTGCTCTGAAGCAAAAGAGAGAGAATTTGTTCCGTTCTGGTAAGATCTCTTGGGGGTGGAAAGAGGAAGGGATTATGTTTGACTGTAATTTTTTATCCTGCCTTTGATTAATTTTTTTTGTTGTTGTTGTTGATTGCTAAAGCAGAGGACAGATATGAAACAGTAAGCTTTAACACCTAGTTTCCATAGGTTTTGGAGGGTCATTTTCATTTAGTTTTATCACTGCTTTCCTCAAGAGGTGAAAAAAAAAAATAAAGTTACATAGTGATTCTGGAAGTTTTTTGACTATTTGCATGTTAGCAATATTACCATCACAGGCAATATGGCCCATTTTAAATACAGCTTCTTCTGAGATGCTCATTAAAGTAACTTCTTTCAAAAGCTTCTGTCAATGACAGCTTTCAAAGGCACCACTAAGAGTGAATCCTCAGATGGATTTAAAGCATTAGAGCTTCTCACTTTTTTCCATCTTGCTTTTATGGTAGCATGTGTTAGGTTTTATAGTTAGTCTTCCCTTTGAAGGCTCCTGAGTCCAGGGAATTTGAGGATTTTACTCCCAGACTCCTTTCCTCCTTTACAAGGCAGTCTGGTTGCTAGCACACTCATGTCATGAGGAGATTTCTTTTGTTAGATTAGGCACTGTATCACTTACCTGGAAAGTAAACAGCTTTATATAAGGAGGGGGTAAACACAAGTCTTCTGGTGAATGCTTTGACATATTTATTCTCTATGCCATTCATATAATATATATTTTAATATGATTTTACAATTAAAAAAAATCATTTTTCTATTTAGACAGTCATATATGCTGGTTGAGTCTACATACCATGATAATGAATCAAAAAACTTATCTCATTTTTTTCTTGCAAGGTGCTTGATTTCCAGTCACATTGCCCACCACAGTTGTCTACAATGAACATTCAGGCTTTACTAGCACACAGTAGGTCCGTACTTAGGCTCCAGATTATTCGTAGTACCTACAGGTCTAATGATCCTTTTCTTGAGCAGGTTTATAACTGCTGAAACCTTAAAGTGTTAACGAGGTATGTGTCAAATTTATTTTTAAGCTGTTCACTTTCAAAATGTGGTTTTCTTTGGCTATTTTATCATCTGTACATGGGCTGGTAGATCTAACCTGTTTACTTCAGATGTAACACTGAAGGTACATGAGGGGAAAGACTAGTGGCACTAGTATTTAATTTTTAAGAAACAATTCAGAGATTAATATATTCCTGTGCCATAGAAAGTGTGAGAGTTATGCCAGGTTAGGAAAATCGGCTTTGAACTGGAATTAGGAGAGATGACAACTTGATCCCATTTTCCAGGTTAATATCTTAAAATATAATCTATCAATAGATTATCTTAGAAAACTGTTTTACTAATTTGTATTTTAAAAATTGTTATCCTTAAATGTGGCATTTCTTTAACTCCCCAAGTTAAAATTTATTTCAAAAGACTAGAGAGATTTGTGTGTATATGTGTATGTGTATAAATACATGCATTTCTTTATGTATCTGATCAAATGGAACTGCAGACTGTCCAGTTACCAACTGGTGTCCCGGGCTCAGCAGCAGCAGTCATTTTTCTCCTTCTTAGTAGCTGGTGCAGTGCTGTGGTTTTGACTTTCAGCCTGGGAACAGCGCTGCTAACACCAATGGTTTTAGTTGTTGCTAAGTCATGTTTAGTCTGACCAAGGACTTTGTGAGTTTCATGCTCTGCCCAGGGAGAAGGGGAAGCTGGGAGGAAGTAGAGACAGGACACCTGATCCAAACTAGCCAACGAGGTATTCCACATCACAGCACGTCATGCTCAGGATGTAGAGTTGGTGGCAGTTACCCAGAAGGGTGAGATCACTGCTTGGTCAGGCTGGGTATCGGTCGGTGAGTGGTGAGTGGTTGTATTCTCTTCCCTTGTTATTTTCCTTATCATTATTGTTACTGGTGGTAGCAGTAATGATTTGTGTTATACCTTAGTTACAGTGTTCAAAGCCAGGTTGGAAGAGACCTTGGGTGATATGGTTTAGAGCGAGGTGTCCCTGCCCATGGCAGGGGGTTTGGAACTTGATGAACTTAAGGTCCTTTCCAACCCTAACTATACTGTGATTCCATGATTCTGTGACTGTTCTTATCTCAACCCATAGGAGTTCATCCTTTCAATTCTCCTCCCCATCTCTGTGGGAGTGAGGCAAGGAAGTGGGGGAATGAGCTAACAGCTGCGTGGTTCTGATTTACTGGTTATGCTTAAACCAAGACAGGGGTGCATCCTTCAGAGGTAAAGTTTATTTCCAGGAATTGTGTCTTGTTGCAGAAATGGGGAGACCTTTAGGGGCAGCTGGACAAGACAAACTCTGGCAGCACAAGCCATGAAGGCAGGCAGACCAGCTAGCCTTCGCAGTTTTGCATTAAAATTGTCAAGAGAATTGACGTGTCCTTTTGATTTTTTTTTTAATTATACTGTGCCAGCATCTTTTTTCAGAAAAAACATTCTTCTAGTGCATTTTTTTATTAGATCTAATTGTAGTTCTGATTTCCATTAGAAAGAGATTGTATGTTTTTGAGGATGTACTTCTAGAAAAAGGGAATTACAATGAGTCATTTTTTATGGACAAGTATGTAAATAGAAAGGTAGAATCCAATACTGTATAATACATTGATCACTAAGTCTGATCTGGTCTTGTTCCTGTAAGTCTCTCATGAAATATTTCACAGAAGGAATAAAAAATTGCTTTTTTAAAAGAAGCAGCATAAATACTAACAACAATATGTTATATGCATTTTCTTATTAAAGCATTGGAACCTGCAGATGCCCTATATGTCATGTCAAATGGGCCTCACAGGCTGCAAAGGGGAAACAAAATTATCTTCTTCATATTAAAAATACCTTACACTATAAACTGCAGTTGCTGTAATTAGTAGAGCAAATTATGAAGAAGGGCATTTTGTGAAAAATTTAACACTGTATTTCAGCTTAGGATCCGTGTAAATTTTACCTTGTCCTAAAGATATTATTCATTTTTTTTTAGTTTGTTCTGTCATCTTCTTTTTGGACACTTTATCTCTGGAAACACTCATGAGAAGACAAAGAGTGTTTATTTGCCACTAACATTCTGTCAAATAGCTATTTATCCAAATGCTCTTAAAGCTGCTTTGTATGAGAAGTCACAGTTTGCTAGTGAATTCCTCAAAGCAGGAATTCTTCCATAATGCCTCAATTTCCATACAAGGCCTTTTCACCCATTGGACTGATAGACAATGATGTCTACAAATTATTTTAGATTTTCTTCTTTTCTTTGCAGCCTTTTAAAAAAGTGTGAATTTTCATCCTCTTGATTGTTTTGCTCCATAATAAGCTTACCCGGATTTCTGTTTCAGAAAGATACCTGCTTGGCTTAGATAATCTTTTGCATTTAATTGTATTTTAGCTTGCTTTATTGTATAACAACTTCTTTCCACCTTCAGTTTCATTGGGGAATACTCATCTTTGATGTGTGCATGAAAACAGGTAAGGAGGAAAACTGAAGAAGTTTGAAATAATTTTAGGAAATATTTTTTTCCAACTCAAGCTGTTTTTTCCTCTAATGTATTGCAGTTAACCAAATTCAAATATTTGAGTAGCATAAATAGTATTATAGAAATATAACTAATAAAAGTATAGAACCTAATAAATAAACAGCTGGTTTTATTTTATTAAGCAAGATTCAGAAAACCTTGTGGACACAAAGTGTTCCTGTTCTTCTGATACGTATGTATGTCCTTGAATTTCACAGATACTGAAAAACTAGTTTATCACACTTCAGTAAGTTCCTTATGTCCTTATTTTCCAACAGTGATAACTTAATTTTCTCAGTGAAGTGCTGGAAAATGCAACATTTCACAAAACAAATTATAACAGAAATGAAAAGCAATAGAGAGGGTTTTAATTTTTTCTTCTTTACAAAAAGGTTTTAAATATTACTGCTGCTTAAAAATATACACTGAAATTTGATGAGGTTTTTTTTTCTTTTTTTTGTTGGGTTGGGTTAGGTTAGGTTTTTTATCTTTAGAGAAGGAAGAAACAGAGAAATAAGGTTTGGTAGTTTAGTGTCTCGTAGAGCTCAAAAGAACTGGTTAAAATTAGCAAGATGGGGTCAGAGGAAGAGAAGAGCTGTTCCCTAATAATATGTTTTTTTTATTCTTTGATAAATGTTTGGTAAAAATTCTGAAATAAGCTCTTCAGAGAACTCGATCTGCATGGGTCTTACAGCCTCTTGTCATTCCTGTGAAGGCTGCTAATAAAGCCATTAATGTGACTAGTTTATCGGAGAGAGAAAGAAGATACGTCTCGATAACATGGCTGGATACAGGTGTGACTTTGAAAGCTGGTGTGGGATGTGCATTTCCCATTTTCTGCCCAGAACTTTTATGAGTAAATTATGTATGTGTACACAGGAGAGAGAGAGACCTGGCTTGTTATTTAGAAGAGAAAGAAAACAAGTAGTAGTTAACCTCAGAATTTGTGGCTGCTCTCCATGGTCTTCAGCTCCTGCAGGAGCCTGTTCCTACATGGGTTTTCCATAGGCTGCAGCTGCCTTCAGGACAAGCCCTGCTCCAGCTTGGGGTCCTCCCCATTGCTGCAGGTGGATTTCTGCTCCACCATGGACTCTGCTGTGGTGCTTCTCCTGCTTGGTGTCTGCAGAACTGTTCTGATCACATTTTACTCACTCCCCTCTCTCACAGCAGCTGCACCTTCTTTTACCCTTTATCATATAGATTGATGGCTGGTTTCGTGAGCAAAGATTTGTGGAAGGCTATAACCACACTTACTAACAAGCATGGTGACCAAGGATATGTGGGATATGCAAATCTGGTTGGAAAAAAAAGGGTGCTTAGGCAATCAGGAAGTGTCTGACCAGGAGTGTCACCTCCTGAGCAATCTTGAGTGTCCCATGCGCTGGTCTGTCCTCATGCAAGGTTGGATCTGCAGCTACCCATGCGCCTTGTCAGCTACTGTTCCAAACCTTTCCTGTCCATACAGACAAGGGAGAGTAAGCCCTTCCAGCCTGCGCAGTGGATTTTTTAGGTTAGATTCAGCTTGCGCAGATCTGGCCCCACCTTCCTGAATCTTCGTTAGTGAAGTCAGGCCTTCCTCATAGGAGAAGGAAAACTCCTACCTTCAAACCCAGGCACATGGACCCCATCTAGCCTTGGAAGATCTTCCAAGAGTAGGACACTCTTATATAGATTGTAGCAGTGGCTTTCAGCACTGTGGGTCTGTTTTGGAGCTAGTTGGCCCTGGCTCTGTCCAACTCACGAATAGCTCCTGGTTTATTATTGAAGAGGTCACCCTACAGTCACACCTCCCTGCTACCAAAGCCTTGCAAAGTAAATCTGCTTCAGTTATTTATAAGCATGATAAAGAAAAAAGAAAAAAGAAAAAGCATCTTGGAAAGGTTCATTTTTCATTATTTTACTTGTGTCATGATCCATACTTACAAATCAGTTAACCTGACAGGGACTAGCTTTTCCTGGTGTGTGGTGTTCCATGAGAAACTTGGCTAGCTTGCTGCTACGTGACACTCGTTTACACAGCTGACCAGGTATCCTGGGGAAAAATTGTCCAGTTCATGCAGTTTAAAGCAGATCGGGATGGAATTATTAATGACACAACATTAAAAACAAGACTTGCTGAAGCGTGCCTTCACTGAGAGAGAGTATCACACAAATGTGTCCCTACAGTGAATGTATGCATAAGATAGAGGCTGTCTGGAGACACGGGAGCTGCTTCAAACTGGCTCACAAATCCCTAAATATTCATTCATTAAGAACAACTTTCTCAGAAAATACCATTTTCACTAATAAAATTAATTTATTAAGAACACATAGAAATAATAATAAAAAAAAAAAAATAGTTAAAAATTTTGTACTCCTTTAACCTGGAAAACTTTAACCACAAACCAAAAGAACTTTTCTGTATGTCCATGTGTTATAAATAGGGGTGCATGGTTTTTAATACATGCTTTAATAGTACTGCTATCTTTTTGGTTTTCGATAATGTTCAGATTTCCTACTTGCCTTCTATTTGTCCATGAACACCTTTATGTATAAGGGAAGACTTTCCCTTCGTTTCATGACAAGGCAGTAGCATAGAGGCCCAAAATGGGGTGGAGTTCTACAGCTATGCTCTAAAACCACGAAACCGTGCGCAAGCTGGTGATTGGGTGGAGGAGCGCAGTGTTCCTTGAACAAGGGAAGGTTTAAGAATGTCAACTTTCTAAGGTCTCAGGAGGTCCTTACATAAGCAGGATACTTGCACAGCTCCCTCATTGTCGTGGTTTAAACCCACCCAGACAGCTTGTTACCCACTTCCCCCCCCCCCCCCCCTCTGCCCTCCCCCTACTCTCGGAGGGATGGAGAGGAGAATCAAAAAGAATGCAACTCCCACGGGTTGAGATAAGAACAGTTTAGTAACTAAGGTATAACACAAATCACTACTGCTACCACCAATAGTAATGATAAAGGAAATAACAAGGGAAGAGAATACAACACCCCATCACCAGGCGACCGATAACTTGCTCCCCCCATCCCGACCAAGCACCGACCCATACCTCCTCCAACCCTGCAGTCCACCTGCCCTTCCCGGTAACTCCCAGTTACATCCTGGGCATGACATGCTGTGGTATGGAATACCTCTTTGGTCAGTTTGGGTCAGGTGTCCTGTCTCTGCTTCCTCCTGGCTCCCCTCCTCCCTGGCAGAGCATGAGGCCCACAAAGTCCTTGGCCAAACCAAAACATCATTGTTTTTCAGCTGTGTTCCCAGCTGAAAGTCAAAACACAGCACTGCACCAGCTACCAAGAAAGAGAAAAAATGACTGCCACTGCTAAACCCAGGACACTCATTCTCTCTGAAACTTCTTTGCCTCCAGTCATTCTCCAAACATGTGTGAGCATTCCTGTGTTGTAGTCATGGCCCAGTCAGAGCCTCACCGAAGCATGCTGCCCTTGGGCATATTTTGTTCAACATGGTATCACAAGGTCAGGTTGCTGTGTTTAAAGAAATGCAGCAAACCTGTTATATATGTTCACAAAACTCAGGGCTACACAGTGAATGCTGACACTGATCTCTCTTGTGTTTACCTCATCAGCTGCTTTAGATATTGATGCTCAGAGATTCCCCACTGGGACCATAGTCTTGTGTCACAAAGAGGTCAACACCCACAAGTAGTAGCTGATGGTGTCTTTTCCATTTCCTCACAGGTTATTCCTGTTCCCCTGCATTATAGAGTCTCCCTATCCCTTATGTCTGTTGGCAAAGGAGTTTATATAGCTCTGCTGCAAAGTATCAATAACCAGTTTCAACTCTAAAAGGTAGTACTTTCCCCACCAC